CGCCTCTTGTGGTTTAGGTTTTGAAAAATGGGAGAATGAATAAAAAATCCCGTCCAAAATTATTTTTGAACAGTTGCAGGTATCGCATTATCGATCAGGGATTCGCAAATGCGAACTTTACTTCGCAATTGCGAAGAATAGCCTGACCTGCTAGCATCGCAAATGCGAACAAGTGTTTGCAAATGCGGCCTGAGCTGATCGCAATTGCGATCCTGAGCTTCGCAATCGCGAAGGTCCCCTCCCAGTCCTACTGCCCGCAAATGCGAAACTTCTTCGCAAATGCGAAGTCTGCAGACCTGAAGCATACCGGCAAAATTTCTTAAGTCCAAATCACTCTGTAGCCTATCCAAAACTCACCCAAACCCTCGGGGCTCCAAACCAAACATGCACACAAGTCTTAAAACATCGTACGAACTTGCTTGCACGATCAAATCGCCGAAATAACACCTAGAACTACGGATTTAGCACCAAATTGCATGAAATTTTCAAGAAAGTTTCAAAACTTCTATTTTCTTAACCAAAGGTCCGAATCACGTCAAATCAGTTCGATTCTCACCAAATTTCACAGATAAGGTATAAATATTACAACGGACCTGTACCGGGCTCCGAAACCAAAATACGGACCCGGTACCAACAAGATCAAATATTAACCAAATTCTTAATACCTTTATAATTTCAATCTTACAATTTTCATCAAAAATTCATTCCTTGGGCTAGGGACCTCGGAATTCGATTCTGGGTATATGCCCAGGTCCAATATTTCACTATGAACCCACTGGATCGTTAGAACACGGGTCCGGATCCGTTTACCCAAAACGTTAACCGAAATCAACAAAATTAACTTTTTTGGCCAAAAATTATTATTTTCATTAATTTTTCACATAAAAGCTTTCAGGATATACGCTCGGAGTGCGCACGCAAATCGAGGAGGAATAAAATGAGATTTTGAAGTTCTCGGAGCACGAAATCGAGTTCTAAAACATAAGATGACCCTTTGGGTCATCACATCAACACTCCTAAATCAAGTCTCCTTGAATCATACTAATCAACGCTCCCTCTCAAGTTGGTGCAAAGATGTCGCACATGCTCAACTTGCAACTAAAGTATGGAAAGTTCGCTTGTTGAGATCTTTAATAAACACATCAGCTAGCTGTTTTTCCGACGGCACATGAAACAAACTCAAAACACAAGTTGTAACTTTTTCTTTGATGAAGTGTCGATCAATTTCCACATGCTTTGTTCGGTCATGCTGGACTGGATTATAAGCTATACTGATGGCAGCTTTATTGTCACAGTACAAGGAAAGTTTTCCTTTTTCATACACTCAATTCTTGTAGTAGCTTTTGTAGCCAAAGCAGTTCGCAAACACCCTGGGTCATAGCTCTATATTCTGCCTCCGCACTTAAGCTAGCAAGTACACTTTGCTTCTTGCTTCACCAAGTTTCCTCCTACGAGCGTACATGATCTTCTGTCATCTAGAGATCTAGCCCAATCTGTGATTATAAAGGCTTCTATTTGGAGGTGATCATGTTTGGAGAAAAGTAGACCTTTCCCTGGAGCAGACTTTAGATACCGCAAAATGTGAAAGATAGCTTGCATATGAGGATCTTGGGGATCATGCATGAACAAACTCACCAGGCTAGCTGAATAGGCTATGTCTGGTCTAGTGTGGGAGAGATAAATGAGTCTTCCAACCAGCCCCTGATATCCCTCCTTATCAACTAATTATCTAACTCCGCTTTGTAACTAGTGATTGCTTTCAATGGGGAGATTTTGCAGGTCTGTAACCTGTCATACCGATTTCTTTCAAAAGATCCAGAATATACTTCCTTTGAGAAATAAAGATTCCTCTTTTGGATCTAGCAACCTCACTTCCCTAGAAGTACTGAAATTTTCCTAGATCTTTGATCTCAAATTCATGTGCCAACAACTTCTTCAATCGAGACATCTCCTCTTTGTCATCTCCTGTCATTACTATGTCATCAACATAAACTATGAGAAGGGTGACTTTACCCGTTTGATGTCTTATAAAGAGGGTGTGATCAGCATTGCTTTGTTGGTAACCGAAGGAAATCATTGCTTTGCTGAATCTGTCAAACCAAGCTCTAGGGAATTACTTCAGTCCATACAAGGCTTTCTTCAATCAGCATTCCTTTCCTTGACACTGTGCAGTATCAATTCCAGGAGCAATCTCCATATAAACTTCTTCTTCTAGGTCTCCATGAAGAAATGCATTCTTCACATCAAATTGTTGCAAGTCCCAATCAAGATTACCTGCACAAGATCTAACAGTGTTCATCTTAGCAAGAGGGGCAAATATCTCTTGATAATCCACTCCTAAGTCTGAATGAATCCCTTAGCCACCAATCTTGCTTTGAATCTTTCAACTGAGCCATCAGCTTGGTGCTTCACAGTAAAGACCCATTTGCAGCCACCCAACTTCTTGTCTGGTGGCGAAGTGACAAGTTCACATGTCTCATTTTTTGACAAGGCCTTTATTTCTCCAATCATAGCTTGCTTCCATTTAGGATCTGCAAAAGCTTCTCTCCAATTCTGGGGAATAGACACAGAAGAAATAGACAAGGCAAAGGCTCTATAGGAAGGAGACAAAATTAGATAAAGGGTATTTTTGGTGATACAAGATCTGACTCCTTTTTTGAGAGCAATAGGTTCATCTAACTCATCAGAAAATGTAAATAACTCACCATTAGAAGAAGGTTCAGCTTCGGTAGATTGCATGATGACTTCTTCTGCTCTATTTTTTCTTGAGTAAGTTTTCAAATCAGGCCTATCCAAACGCCCAATAGTCTCCCCCTGAATTCTCTCTCCAATTTCACTTTCCCTTGTGACAATGTCATCAAGAGGTCCAGTAATGGAACTAGGTAGAATCACCACTTCCTCCTTACTGCTCTCCCCCTAAAGAGGTGATGAGGTAACACTAAAATAAGGCTCAGATCCTCAAAAGGTAACATCCATGCTAACAAAAGATCTCCTAGAGAGAGGATGATAACATTTGTAATATTTCTGTGTCAAAGAATACCCAATGAAAATACACTTTATGGCATTAGGATCAAGTTTCCCAGAATTTCTAATGTGGACAAAGCAAACACCCAAATACCTTTGGAGGAACAGTTTATTCATTCTTACCCTTTAAAATTTCCAGAGGACTTCGAAAATTGAAGGGTTTAAATGGCATTTTGTTGATAAGATAGGCAGCCGCTATAGCATCCCCCCAAAAAGGTTTTGGTAAAGGCATGGTGAACATAAGAGATATTGCTAATTCTAACAGATGCCTAATTTTTCTTTCAGCGACTCCATTTTGTGCACTAGTGTAAGGACAACTAGTCTGATGGACTATCTCATTGGACTCCAAATAAGCACCAATCTTTTATCCATGTATTCGTTGTCTTTGTCAGTTCTCAAAATTTTTATTTTGGCATCAAACTGAATAAAAATCATCTTATGAAATGACTGAAAATAAGAGAAAACTACACTTTCGGCTTTTAAAAAATATACCCAAGTCATCCTAGTGCAGCAATCAATGAAAGTAACAGACTATCGACTACCAAACAAAGAAACAGTTTGCGTAAGACCCAATACAACAGAATGAATAGTCATAAGCGGAGTTGTACTTCTATTATCACTCACAAGATAACAGTTTCTAGTATGCCGGGCATATTCACACGCCATCACATAACAAAGATTCAAATCGAGTCCTTGAAAACAAATCGGGATATAACTTCTTCAAAACAAAGAATGATGGGTGTCCTAACCGTCTATGTCGTTATTATTTCTTGGTTAACATCCTTACTTTCCATGTACATTTTAAGAAGAAGAAAAAACTTCTTGTATTTCTGTGTATGTTTACATCCCACGAGCAAGGGAATGTATACAAAGCTCATAATGCTAATTAAAGAAATAAAATAAATCTATACAATCAATCCAGCTATCAAATCAAATCAAATCAAGTACAATCAAAATAAAATCAGATCTCCTAAATATAATAAAATATCCTGAAATCATGCTAATCAACAATATAAATACACGACAACCCTAGTGATACAACACAATTTCCAAAAAGCAGACGTCAGCATGGACAGTCATAAATACTCAGAGTCCGAACAAATCCTAATGTAAAGGGAACTAACAAATCAAAGACGGTAAAGTCTTATGCCTCTAAGTTTCAGTATACTTTTTGAGAACAAAGTCTCAGTATGCTTTCCTTCCTGGTACAGCTCAATTTATATGCTTCATCACTCAAACGAAAAGGTAGAACAAACAAAGTAGACAACTCATACTTCTGTCGTGGGTACTAGAATGTGTTCCCAAAATGCTGCATATGACCCAAGTTGTCTTAATAATGGACGAATGAACACTCACACCCAACACAATGAGATAAAGTTCAGCAAAACCTAACAGCTCAAAGTATTGAAGTCACTGGGAAACAACCAAGTCCAGGCTCAACAGAAATACAAGTAACCAGGGACCATCTATAAGCCTTTGCTTTTCTTCTTTTAACATGAACTGGAGAAAGAATTACTCAGATAGATATGAGATTTACCTCGGAATATAAAACCAGAAATGCTGCCAGCATATTTTAGCGGAAATAGTGCGCCAGCGACAGAGTGAAGAAAAATACAAGGCTCATCTTCCAACTCTGACCAAGGGATATTTTACAAGTCTCAGAAGCTAATACTTTCATATGCCTGACTTCAAATTTTGTCGAACCTAGAAGATGCTAACAAGTTCCAAAGGCTGCAACCAGTGGCAGAGGCAGGATCTCAATGAAGGAGTTCAAAAAAAGTTTTTGTGGCTAGTGGAAATTGAACCTGTGACCTTATGAAGGTTTTGAACCCCCTTGACCACTAAACTACACTTTTGGGTTGTGTTAAGGGGGTTCAAAACTTAATATATAAAGATAAAAATCAGATTTTGCCTTATATATACAGTGTAATTTTTCGGCGAAGGGTGTTCGGGTGAACCCCCTTGCGCCCCCTAAATCCGCCCCTGGCTGCAACTGAGGAGAAAATAAGTCCTTGCACAATAACATAAAGATAAACAAATGCTAATATGTACCATGCTGCTTTATCATCTTTCCAAAGACGAAATTGGATATACTATTAAACTTGTTTGGAAATACTGCGTTGTAGTTATTTATTGAACTTCAAAATGGCCATACTCCCGTGTAGAGCTAAACCTAAACAGCACCACCTTCAAGATACCCTATACTTTCCTGTTCCAGATAGCACAAGCGTACAGTTATTATTTCCAAATAATAAAACTTTTGTTGATGACATCGTTTCTTTACCATGTATTATTTAAGAAACAAACACGAAATGGTAAGTCATGCAAAAACAAAAAATTGAAAACTGAATGCAAGCATTCATTAAGGTTTAAAAGGTTTTCTATTTTTCCCCCAATATACATGAAGCACAAAGGTAAGTAGGTAACTCCAATTAACGTTGGTAGTAGCATCATATGTTGTGATATGATTAAGAGACCAAAAGTTTAAGGTGTTTGGACAGTGCTATCTCTGTTTGAGATGAATCTTGATTCATAGAATCTCCAAGTATCAATGTATGAGATACTAGAGAAAAGATTTGAGTAATCAGCTTAACATACCTTAAGTACTATCAGTTTCTCTAATTGTGGCCATGGAAAAAATTGTTAGGACTAGTTTTTATTGAACCCTCCATCATTTAAGATGACTAAACATTTAAAGCAGCCATGCATTTCTTCTTCCTTTCCCCTAACTCTTCTCCAATTCCTCGGAGAGCTGTATTTTTAAGTGGTTCGTATGAGCTTATAAATTTATGTACGACACACTCCATACTCTTCTAGTTCATAGCAAAGCAACTTTCAGATCATCTAGACTAAAAATGACACTTAACAAAAAAGACACAATACTACCTTAAAACACATTAATTAGAACAAGACGTTCACATGTCAAGTAACACAGAAGTTTATGATAAAACAACCTAAGGGGGGGTAGAAACTCCTAGATGCAACCATTACTGAAAATTGTAAATTTTCTAAATCAGATAAAGCATATACAGTACATCATACGCAAGATCTAATAGGAGAAGAAAGATCTTACAAACAAAAAAGCTCCATTTTGATAGCATCTCTTCCTGAAGGACAAGAAAAAGAAAAAGGTTATATAACTGAAAATCCTAGAAAACAGGACCAAAGAGACAGCAAGACTTTCTGCAGTAGATGAATTTAGAGCGCCACAAAGGTATAGAAGTTTAAAACAGTAGATCATAAAGAGAGAGAGTTCAAACATAAGGCCTAAGCTTCTTTAAGTTCACTTAATGATCAATAAGTAAAATTAGAACTTAGAAGGTAACCAGGCAGAGATTATCACAGTAAATGTAGTGCAAGTCAATTCTTAAGTGAAATTTCTCAATCTTCATAATTTTGTTCAATCCAACTCCTATCTTACTTTAGTGATGAAATATATATGACTTCTAACATCATGACATCAAACTATTTGATGATATCAGCTCCAGATTTCTTTCTTAAATTTTCAGCTTTGCAGGAGAGATTCATGAAACAGTAGGATATCCTTCACAAGTACTTAAGCCAGATGATCATGAAACAATACCATGATAACCAGCGTACACGAATATCTTCCATTATGAGCAACGGATGGAGGAACACATTTGCACTACCTATAAGTTCAACAAACCAATCAATTCAAACTTAAAGAAGAAGACACCTCATAAGACTTGTTGAACACGGTATAACCAAGCTTCCTCTATATGTCAACCCTGTTTGCCAGCCCAAAACATGGGGCGAGGGAAATGGTCTGGACTCTCAAGAGCTAAAAAGGAAGCTCATTATGTAAACCTAATGTTAAACAACAGGGTATAGCATAAAATGTGGCGAACTGACATCATAAAACAGCTATTCAGCCAGCACAAGCTAATATGCAAAACTCCATCTGATCACACGAGGATCAGGAACCTTCAGCAAAAACTAGAGACAACTTATCTACAAAGAAAACCAAATCACCTCTCCTCATACATGTCAAAGGTGACAATCTCATAGCATGCTACATTACTGAAAGCGAACTCATTAACTCTATGCAAGATTGAGCACAACCGACTGCACTAGAGAATTAAGAAGCAAAAAGAACCTTAAATACAAGCATTATTTAATACGACGCCATAAAAATATCAGTGATCTAATCTGACCTATAACAGTTATTCAAATTTGTAACTGGTCTGGATGAATAAACTATGCAAAGGCATCTACTAACCTAAGTATATGGCAAGACCAATGCTACAAACTATGACGCTCTCACAAGCCAAAATACTAGTATAAATTATAGCTCAACCTCAATGCAAGATCACATAGAACCAGAAGACAGTAACGAACAAAGATAACTTAACAGAGAAAACAATAAACACACACTTCCTTAAGAGTAAGCCATATACACATGATTGTATTACTTATTAGCAACCATTCAAAAATTAGATGACCCAAACAATACACAATATACAGTCATGCTTTTGCATGGTTGTTGTTCTTGACCAATCATCATTGCTCGCACATCAGAAATGATGTCCGTTATTTCAAAGAGAGATCAAATGCAAGAAACAAAGACGTTCTTTTAAACCTATTACCCAACTAGAGAAATGATTGAATGCACTTATGCATGACTAAAGGAGAAATATATCAATGACAACAAATCCTTCAGGAGGAATGAATGACATCACAACCCATAGCTCTACTACATATGGAGTATGTTGTAATAAAGGTAACTACTGTACCTTGAGTTTAGCAAGCCACTTAGTAGTTCAAACATTTTCATTTCTAACATCTCCCATCATTTAGCCCTCAAATGATAATTTTATATATAGGCACATGAACAAGCATACGCATTCAGTAAACTAATGACAAACCCAGGAAAGAGGGTTGAGGGCAAAAGCAAATGCCCTAATTAATTGGATGCTTAGAAACAACATACCCACAAACTGTCTCATAATTGCATGGACATATATAGTTCACTAAATAGATACTTACACACAGCTATAGAAAACAAATCAATACACCATGAGACCCATAAATTTCACAAGAACAACACATTTTAAAAAGGAAAAGAAAATCAAGACTGTAAACATTAGTATGAAACTGTATTCACTAGTTAGATATTCATAAATGTAGATGTTACTACTATAACTAGCAACGCAGAGACGCAATTCAAAAGTATAAAAATGGCCTTTCATTCATCATTTCATTTGTATACACAGGCTAACATAAACCCTAACACTATAAAGAACTAAGAAAACACGATTGATTTCATACTGGAGAAACCTAATAATTTCTATGGAATCTAAAAAAAAACAAACACCAGCTATTCAAAAACCAAATTTAAGGCTTAACACTTGAAACTCCCTATTGTCCTTCCAATCTAATCCTCATCAGCAGAGGGCTTTGAGGATCCACCAGCTTTCTTAGGCAGCAAAAGGTTATGAATATTGGGCATAACACCGCCATTGGCAATAGTAACATCTCCAAGCAACTTGCTCAATTCCTCATCATTTCTCACTGCCAACTGTATATGCCTTGGTACTATCCTAGTCTTCTTGTTGTCCCTCGCAGCATTTCCAGCCAATTCAAGCACCTGTAACCACCAAAATTCACATAGAAAATCAGAACCCTTAATCAAAACAAACAACCTAGAAACTTTCTATCAGTACATATCTGTTGTTTAACTTGTACAACATAAAAAAAAATCTATAAACAGTATCATTAAGCTTTAACCCATGTAATAGTAGTTTAGTTACGATTTTTATCATGTTAACAATTAATGCTAATGAAATTTTACCACAATTACTTCATAAGTGACCTGAAAAATGTAAATATATTTCACAAAAATGCTTTCCAGTCCAAAACCTAAAGCAATTAACTCAATTATGGTTAATTAGTATGTATTTACACATCGATTAATCAGTTAAAGGATAATAATTAACATGATTCAGTATACACGCATAATCATTTTCAATAATTAGAAACCCTAGAAATTGAGATATCAAAAAGGAAAGAATTAAAGAGGCAAATGCAAAAACTCACCTCAGCAGCAAGGTATTCGAGGACGGCAGCAAGGTAAACAGGGGCACCAGCACCGACTCGCTCAGCATACTTGCCGGCTTTGAGAAAACGGGCGATACGACCAACGGGAAATTGAAGACCGGCTTTGCTACTACGGGATGTAGCCTTCTTTGCTGCTCCAGATCCTAGGGTTTTTCCTCTTCCTGCCATTTGATTGTTGTTACTGTAAAACACAAGAATTAATTGGATTTGTGCTTCGGAGATATGAGATTTTGAATGGGAAGTGTAATGGAGAATTGGGAGGGGTTGTTCAGTAATGGTGATTATATAGTACTGAGGGATTTTTAAATGGACCAATGAGAAGAGAGCACAAGGATCGTGAATTTGAACCGTTGGATTAGAAGTAGATTGACGGTGAGATGAGGAAGCCGAGGATTTTAACCGCTTTAAAGGATTGATGAGTTTGAATGTGACACGAAGGAAACAACTGGCGTTTTCCCGGATGTTTGAAATATGAATTGGTGAATATATACCTAAGGGCCCGTTTGGTTGGTGCTTGGCTGCTTGCATAGAGTTTTGTATATATATATATATAAAGTTGGGAATAGAGAAGGTGATGTGGCATCTCTCTTTGACCAAGAATCACAATTATCTATTTTCTCAAATTTTTGGAGTTTTCCCTACTTTTTCTACTTATATTCCCATTTATTTTGTGCTATTTTTAAAAACCAATAAGGAATTACACCTATCCTTTTCCACGATCTTTTGGCATTTATTCCTCTCATTTAGTAACACCTCTTGGTGAAACAATAACACCTCTTAATGTTTGAATGCCCAAACGTCAGTACTAACCGAACGTTGATTTGCTTGCAATATAATTAGCAAAAACAGTTTCACAATCTCTTAATTACATCTGTATCTTTTCCGCTTCTTTCTCTAATCTCATATTGTATTTTTATTCCAAATCCTAATTGAGTCCTCTCCGGTCTCCACCCTAAAATTGTAACGGTGGAAAGTTATTGTTCATATTATTAATAAATAATTTTCTAAACTGATGTGTGCGGTTGTATATACACCAAGATCATAGTTTCTGATGGCAGTGGAGAGAGACAAAGCAAGATATAGGAAGTTCTTGAAAAATTTACGAAGGAACTGGAGCAGCGTACTCTTGCAACAACTTCATTCTACCTACTTATTATGCCTTTTTTTTTCTCTATGAACGCCACCAAGAAATTGATAAACTTTTAATATTCTTTCTCTATTTTTGAACAAGCTAGGGTAAATGCACAAAGATCTTTTCTACTTTTAATTTTGGTTTCACGACTATATATGTTCTTCAATTTACCTTAGATTTTTTTTTTTTGGGTCTTAATCTACTTATTTTCTAATACTCATAGCTCTTTTACAATCATAACATAGTCTCTCTCCAACACTTTCTGAACTGTTTCTCAAAATTTTAGTTTGTTTCCATTTGGTTCCAAATACTTAAATATTTGTTTTTAGAAAAAAACGCAAAAGAAGCAAAAGCAAATAAGGAGGAGAAAAGAAAGAATTTGGAGGAGAACAAGTTTGGTAGTGCCTTTCTTGGAAAAATAAAGAATAACAACCCCACCACAACGAGGAAATCATTTACCGAGAATGGTTTGAATTGTTAATTCTTTTTATATGGTAAGCTTTGTGAATATTTTGATTGAGTATAAAAAAAATTATTATCATATGACTAAAATGAGTTTGAGACAATAAAAACTTCTGAGAAGGCCCGCCACTAGGTCAAGTAAGTTCGTATGATAATCTGAAGTGGTTAAGATTTTTATTTGTGCTATAGATTATATAGCTATTTTAAAGGGGGTCCAAACAGCTCCAATGCCTACATTACAGGCATCAATCTCAATCACAAAAGGCAATGAGAAGTCAGGGAGAGCTAGTACAGGGGCTGTGGTGAGGGCAACTTTAAGTTGGCTGAAAGCTCTTCTAGCTCCTTCAGTCCATGTGAACCCATCTTTTGTAAGCATGTCAGTGAGATGTTTGCTTATCACTCCTACCCTCTTATGAATGTCCTATAATACCCTGTTAACCTTAGAAAACCTCTCAATTGTGTCACAGACTGAGGCTCAGGCCATGAATGAACAACTTCAATCTTCTTAGGATCAGTGGATACCCCTTGAGCTGAGATGTAATGACCTAAGTATTCCGCCCTTTTTGCAGCAAAGACACATTTGCTTTTCTTTGCCAAAAGCTGGTGTTGGAGTAATAAGCCAAAGACCCTTCTTAAGTGTTGCAGATGCTCTTCCAAATTTCTGCTATAGACTAGGATATCGTCAAAGAAGACCAAGATGAATTTCCTAAGATGCTCTTGGAAAATGTGGTTCATTAAGCCTTGAAAACTGGAAGGTGCATTGGTCAACCCAAAGGGCATGACCAGATATTCATAGTGCCCAGAATGAGTTTTGAATGTTGTCTTCTGGACATCATTGGGTGCCATTCTAATTTGATGGTACCCTGCTCTTAGGTCTATTTTGGAATAAATCTGTGACCCTCCCAGTTCATATTGGAGTTCTTCAATAATGGGTATAGGAAATTTGTCCTTAACGGTCACCTTGTTGAGGGCTCTGTAGTCAACACATAGCCTCCAAGACCCATCTTTCTTGCTTAATAGCACCACTGGGGAGGCATAAGGGCTGGAACTCTACTGTATGATGCCTTGGTTCATCATTTCCCTCACCATTGTCTCAATGACATCCTTCTGCACTGGTGAGTATCTGTAAGGTCTGGAGTTAACTGGTAAACTGCCCTCCTTCAAAGGAATATGATGATCAAACACTCCTATTGAAGGAGGTAACTGTGCAGGCTCCCCAAATATTCCTGCATGCTCATCAAGAACCATCTTAAGTTCCTCGGATTCCTCACCTCTTTCAGGCTCTGTCACTTCAACTTCCGTGCATTCTGCCTCTCTTACCTTAACCATGAAGAACTGTGATCCTTCAATGGTCATTTTGCTGATGGCTTTTGGTTGAACTGTTTTGAACTTGGGCTGAATCCCTTGCAAGGTGAGTAGTTGTCCCTTATACTCAAATTCAATCATAAGCTTTCTAAAATTGAACTTGATGTCATCTAAAGGGTAGAGCCATTGTATTCCCAATACTATATCACTTTTGCCAATTGGAAATACTAGGAAGTCATCCTGGAACACAGCTCCTTGCATTGGCCATTTGAACCCCTTACAAATACTATCTGTAGGCACTTCTCTGCCATCAGCAACCTGTACCAACTGAGGTTTAGTCTTGCTTATTTGGCATCCCAACCTTGTTGTTGTTCCTTCATCTATAAAATTGTGTGCAGAACCACAATCAATGAAGATTTCCAAAGGTCTTTGTTCTGTGAACCCTCTCAACCTCAGGGTTTGGTAACCTAAGGTTCCATTTAAAGCCTGCAAGGATATAGCACAGTTCTCGGGAAGTTCAATAGTTATCTCTTCTCCTTCCTCTTCCATTTGCTCCTTTTCCTCATCCTCTATTGGTACCTCACCTGCTTCCAGCTCTAGTGAAAATAATTGCCTCTTAGCCTGGCATTTGTGACCAGGTACAAACTTCTCATCACAAAAGAAACACAATTCTTGAGCCCTCTTTTCCTCCATCTCTGCTGGATTCAACCTCCTCCTTTTGTTATTGTCAAACGTAGCTGTAGCTGATTTCTTAAATGCATTCAAGTTGTTCCTAGGCCAATTGTTTTGACCATGATTACGACTATACTATTGCATAAAAGAGAAAAAAAGTTATCTTATTGTAAAGGAACAT